GCCTTAGCTTTCCCAGGAGGTCTCCTATCCAGGTACTGGCCAGGCTCCCACCTGCTGAGCTCCAGTGGGGCTGCCAGGTGTGAGCTGCAGGGTGATATACAGTAGCTGCTGGAAAAGTACTGGACTGTCCTCAAAGCAGTCAAGGAAGGGAGAAAGCTTTGCTCAATCCTCTAGCTTGATTGTCCTTTTTTTTTGCTGTAGTCTATTGTCCTAGTCTATTCAACGGGCGGTGTAGTGGCTCTGTGGCTCAGGATCTGCGCCTGTGGCTGGAAGGTTGCCGGTTCGTATCCCGCGGTTGGCAGAGGAATCCTACTCCGCTGGGCCCCTGAGCACGGCCCTTCACCCCAGCTGCTCCAGGGGCGCCGTTTAAAAATGGCTGACCCTGCGCTCTGACCCCCAGCTTCTCTCCCTGTCTGTGTGTCTCAGGGAGAGCAAGCTGGGGTCTGTGAAAAGACAGATTCCTAATGCAAGAAATTGTATAGGACCCTTAAAGTGTGTTCTTGTCCGTGAAGGCAGGCTGCCAGGGATGGGGCTCTCGCTGTCGGTCAGGGAGGGAGGGGCCCCAGCCTGCTAATTCCACTCACATGTTCCCAGCTAAGGCAGAGGGTCCCTTGTGCTCCTGCTCTTGCTGGGGCTTGCAGGTCTGCAGTCTGTCTCCCGTCTCGAAAAGAGAAGCAGAGCTGAGATTCAGCAGGGGCGGGGTTGGGTGGGGGTGTGGGGGGTCGTCCTGCCTGTCCTGTGGTTTGCTCGCGGCCGGCCCTGTGTTCTTTGAGTTTTGGTGCTGAAAGTGTCACGCGGGTGCGATCTGGGAGCGCTCAGTGGCCCAGAGGGAGAGAGAGAGAGCCGGGGAACCAGAGACAGGAGAGAGACTCCCCCAGGAGCAGCTGTCCTCCCTCGTCACTGCCCCTGCCTTCCCCACCAGACGGAGGAGTTGGTGTGGGACCAGCTGGGAAGCCGTCATGTCAGCAGTGTGGGACAATGACTACCTGTGGCAGGAGGTCCAAGGGTCAGTATCCAGCCTGCTCCACCTTTCCGTTGGTGAGGGACCCAGAGCAGGCGGTGGACGTGGAGGCCAGCGTGTGACCGGCCGCTCTGGGGGGGGATCTGCCGGCCGCAGGGCAGGAGCCATCGAAAGCCCCCGGGGATGGGTTTTGTGCCGCGTCGAGCCGCGTGGGGGCAGTCCTGGTTCGGTTCTGCTCGCCGGACGAGTGACCCGTGAGTAACCGTGCGCTCTCGAGAGGCCTGTCCGCCGGCCAGGCTGCGTCTCTTGAAGGGCACGGTGTCGGTGTCCGAGCTTCGGTTCCGAGAGTCTATGCGCAATCAAAACGAAAGAGAAAACATCTTGCTTGTTGTTTCTGTAGGGAAGGCGAGCAAAGTGAACACCTTTGTAAGTTTGGCATGAACTATTTGGCTCTGTTAAATTATGTGGCTGTTGTAGTCATTCCTGTGCAGTGCCCTACATAGCCTTGTATAGCGCCAAACTGCTATTGATTTTTTTTATTGGCGGTGGGGTGTAACTCTTGCGGATTGTGTGACCGTCAGTGTCTGGGAAGGCACCGACTGCGAGTCGGATTTCTTCTTCTCCCTCCCTTCGATTATATTTGAGGATTATTGTAAGTTTTGGGTTTCATTTTTGGATCGCACTTATTTTTGTTCTCTCTGCGTTCTGACCGTTGATCTGGAAGACTTGTCTGGCGCAGGAACTAATCAGTAATCTTAGCCGCTTCGGTAAATCCCCAAATTGGTAAGAGCGTTGCAGACATTGTTTGGCACAGTGGTTACGAGAACAATTTCCATAAGCCAAAATGCACGCCCCCGTTTCGACATCTATGTGCTCTTCATTTGGGAATTAACAAAAGCGCTCGGTCCATCTTAATTTGGTAACCCATGAGAGACAGCTTAATACGTTCATTGTCATGGATGACTTCAGTTTTGCTACATGTTCCCATATGATGTATGTTTTCGTGCATCCAGGTACATTGTAAGATGTGGTTACCTGGTTCATTATAAGGTAACAGTACGGGCGAGATAAGTTAAATATTAGTCCATTGTTGCTGAGTGACATTAAAGATGCAGCAGATTAGTCTGGAAACTCAAGAGTGTATTGAAGCCTCTCACAATATTGTTAGTCCTGATATCGGCTGCAGCACTGGATTATCCATATTACTTAATCAATTCAGAGGTGGAGAAATGACATTTTAAGCTATATTGTGGTTAGGTTATGTGTTATGTTAACCAGGCTGTGGCTTAAAAGGCAAAGATTTATTACAGCGCTATAACCGCAAAGCATAAGGTTTTACAACTGCATTGGAACCCTGCCCTCTCTGCAGGAGGAAAGAGAAAAGATCTCTGCTTTTTTTTTTGGAGAACTCCCATACAAACAAGGGTGTATATACATGAACACCCACTCAGATTTCTGCCTATTTAGAGAACTGTTGAGCCTAAAACAGTTTTTTTTTGTCCCTAGAGAGACCAACTGCATACACCACAAGGTCGGTCTCTTTCCCCCATTCATTCCTTTTAATTGCATTCTGTGCATTTTTGGGGAAATTAGATTACTTTTGGACAAGGGGCGCTAGTCATTATCAGCCGAGCACAAAAACAATGGCGGGATTATCTCCGTGCCACGCTGCCATTTAGGACGGGAGACGGATTGATTCGACGCACCAGCGTGCAGTTTCGGAGTTGAATGCAGACCTCTCTCAAATTGACTGCCACCCCATTGCAGTCTCTGCCTTAACCGTTTCTTGACCTTTTAGCCTTTCCCTTGCATGGAGGCCAGCGATGTCGTAGTGACGATCTGAGTCCTGCTGTAGGCTGGTCTCTCCTCTGCAGAGTCTGGGGCACGTGAGCTTTTTCCATATGCATAAATACTGTAAAGACCAAATCAGCTCCATTTTGCACCCTCCCTTCCATTTCTGTCACCTCTCACAAATGCTGCACACCCAGGGGCTCCAGTATAGTAGATGATCCCTCCCATAACCTCTTTGCCCTCCTACCATCTGGGAAAAGATATCCCAGTGTACGGGCCAGCTCCACCAGACTCTAACAGCTTCTTCCTAGCTTTGCTGTTCCTGAAAAGAGGAGTAGTGATCCTTTGATTGTTTTGGGAGGGGGTCCAGTCTTTTAAAACTGTGTGTGTGTGTGATTTCAGGGCTAAACTGGCCTCTCTGTTCGGAATGGACCAGGCAGCCATTCGGGGGAATGAATCTTTCCAGTATACAGCCCCTAAGCAGCCCAAGAAAGCTTCTGCTCATGCAGGTAAGAGGAAGAGGCTGAGCTCTCTCATGGGATAAACACTTCTTTAATCAACTCTCGTCCCCTACATGCTGAAGGCTCTAAATGTTTCTCGGCAACACATATACTGTGTGTGGAGAGAATGCTGGTCTCTGATTGGTCAGTCCGGCACTGGGCCAGTGATGTCAAGGTGGCGTAACATCACCAGTAACCTGATGTGGCCCCTGCCTGCCAGCATACAAGTGTTACAGGTATCAATTTGAAGGGATGTTTTCCCTAAAACTGCGGTCTGGGTTAGATTTGTGTTTTCCATGTGCTTTCATCAGGCTCTCCAATTTCCTTCCACTGCCCAGGTGAAAATAATAATGATAATTCCTTACACTGATAGAGCACTTTTGGACACTCTCCTCAAAGCACCTTAAAGTAAAAGGGAATCCCACTTCCACCACCAATGATACTTCTGGAGGTTTGAGTACACTCAACCTGCCATCTCATTCCCATCCACCCCATCTGTGACTTTATCTCTGCACAAAGCACACTTTCTTTCGTGATTCCTTCATTAATCTACAGATCCACCTGTTTTATAGATTTATAAATGGGCATCAAGAAGCCTTGTTCTCGCCATGTGCAAAAGACCCATCCATTTTGGGGAAAAATGCCTGTGATTTGTAGCATGGAAAAACAATGGAATGGTGATATGTGCTTTTATTAAAACTATATTTTGTGCAAGGGTTTACATTTCCTGTGGTGGTTGCCAAATATTTCGCCTCTGGAGACAAATGCCACACCTAGACGGCCCCGTCCCTGAAATGCTTTTGAAAGAGATCTTGTCGTTTTTTTTTACTATCTGTCTTTTCAAGCATCCTGACTTCATTTCTGCCCCTTAAACTCTTTTCCGGTTCTGTCTCGTTTTTGAAGGCCCGCCCTCTCAAAAGCCCGCCCCTCCCCCGGAAGCTCCAGCCGTCTTATTGGCTACCGCCGTGCTTGCCTTCCGCTAGTGAGTGCCAATCAAAAACTGTGAAGGTCATGCTATGTCGCCATCTCTCTGTGCAATTGCTAGATAGGATCATTTAACCCAGGACAAGAAATGCTTGGCTTTTATAATGGCTTTATTATAATATTGTAATAATATTATTATAACAACTGTAGAATCTCAAAACACTGGAAAGACCTTCAAATGTCTTCTCTTGTGGGGGATATTAGATGTAGTTGAGCTCCAGGAGAAATGCAGTTCTCTCCAGATTAACCAATCGCCTGACTGCTACTTTAGCCTTATAAATCTGTAGAGCATCTGTATAAATTGCTAATGTAAAGGCGGTTTTTCTCTGTTTGGCTAAATTTGCCTTGCGGGGGTGGGGTGCATTCGTAACTTTGCTTGGGACAGGTGTTGGTTTGCTCCCTAGCTGACCGGTCTGCTTCTCCGTCTGTCTGTGTGGGCAGTGTGACCGGGCAGTACGTGAAACAGGGGAAGCTGGGAGCTGCAGTGCTGGGAAATCACGCGAGCCGAGAGGTAAGGGGAGCCTGCCGCCCTGGACTGGTGTTCAGGACTGGCTCGCTTCTTCGGCAGCCAGGGTGTCCCCCAAACGCCCCCCTGTAGTTTGAGTTCAAGGAGTGAGCACCAGCGTTTGTGTAATGTTTGGAGCTGGTTAATGATTCCCTGCAACAGAGCTATCTGATTGTTCATCAGTATAAGCAGAAGCAGAGCTTGATTGCAAAGCATGTGGAGGAGTTCACCCTCCCTTACAGTATAAACCAGGTTTAAGTG